AGAGAGAGAGAGAGAGAGAGAGAGAGTGGTGGTGATGGGAAGGACAAGAGATTTTAGAGGTTGTGGATGATAGTGGTGGTGATGGTAATTGTGGTGGTGGTGAGGATGGTGGTAGTAGTGGTGATAGTGGTGTGTGGTAGTGGTGGTGGTGATAACATGATAAATGAATAATTCTCTCTGTCGCGGCAGAAAACGGCGAATTAAAAATCGATTTCCGGAAACGACGCTCACGAATTTAGGACGAAGAATCCCACTTTAATTGTTGTGTGGTTCTGAGAGAGAGAGAGAGAGAGAGAGAGAGAGAGAGAGAGAGAGAGAGAGAGAGAGAGAGAGAGAGAGTGATAAGGTCCTGGAAAGGGCTGTTGAGGTATGAAGTGGAGAGAGGGAGAGAAAATGACAGACAGATAAGTAGACAGACAGACAGACAGAAGGATAGACAGACACACAGACAGACAGACAGACAGAAGGATAGACAGACAGACAGACAGACAGACAGAGTTATCCCGCCATCTAAGCATAATAATGGGGTAATTTTTTGTCCTGCTGTGTTGTATGGAAGAGGAGAAAGGAGGAGGGGGGAGAGGGGAGGAAGGGAAGGAAGAGGGATATGAGAGGAAGAAGAGGAGGAGGAAGAAGAGAGGAGGAAGAGGAGGAGGAAGAGGAGTAGGAGGAAGAGGAGGAGGAGGAACATAATGGCATCTGGTCTTATCACATGTAACCCCATCAGGATATGTCTCTGTCTCTCTCTCTCTCTCTCTACCACCACCACACAGCCAGTATATAGGAGAGAGAGAGTCGTATATACATTACAGGTCTTCAGCCATATACTACAAGAAGCCATGCACACACATGTCTTCGGTCTTATGTATAGACACCACATCCATCTCAGCCATTCACAGGAAGGTCTGAACCATAGTGAGACATTTTGAGCCATGGTGAGACATCTTGAGAGATTAATAGACATCTTGAGGCGTTAATAGGCATCTTGAGGCGTTAATAGACATCTTTAGGCATTAATAGACATCTTGAGACATTAATGGACATATTGAGGCATTAATAGACATCTTGAGGCATTTATAGACATCTTGAGACATTAATGGACATCTTGAAACATTAATAGACATCTTGAGGCGTTAATAGGCATCTTGAGGCGTTAATAGACGTCTTGAGGCATTTATAGACATCTTGAGACATTAATGGACATCTTGAAACATTAATAGACATCTTGAGGCGTTAATAGACATCTTGAGACATTAATGGACATATTGAGGCATTAATAGACATCTTGAGGCATTTATAGACATCTTGAGACATTAATGGACATCTTGAAACATTAATAGACATCTTGAGGCATTAATAGACATCTTGAGGCATCAATAGACATCTTGAGACATTAATGGACATATTGAGGCATTAATAGACATCTTGAGGCATTAATAGACATCTAGAGATATTAATAGACATAGTGAGACATTAATCGACATGGGGGTTGAAGAGGTATTATATACACACACCTTGAGCAATCTACAGCTGCCTACAGACGCCCTAAGCCATCTACAGACGCCCTAAGCCAACTACAGACGCCCTAAGCCAACTACAGACGCCCTAAGCCAACTACAGACGCCCAAGCCAACTACAGACGCCTTAAGCCATCTACAGACGCCTAGTTTACCCACAGACGCCCTAAGCCATCTACAGACGCCATAAGCCAACTACAGACGCCCTAAGCCAACAACAGACGCCCTAAGCCATCTACAGACGCCCGTTAACCATAGACGCCTTAAGCTATCTACAGACGCCTTAAGCCATCACAGACGCCCTAAGCCAACTAAGACGCCTGCCCATAGACGCACTAAGCCATCTACAGACGCCTAAGCCATCTACTCTAAGCCATCTACATACAGACGCCTTAAGCCATCTACAGACACCTAAGCCAACTACATTCATGGTGAACCATCTAGAGAGGGAAGGAGTTGGTTCACAGTGGATGAATGGAGGCGAGGAGACCCATCTGTTAGTACATGTGAGGGAGAGTGGTGGAGGGGTGTGGTGGAGGGGAGGGAGGAGGTGGGAGGGAAGGGGAGGGGGAGAGGGAGGGAGTGGTGGAGGGAGGAAGGAGTGGTGGAGGGAGAAGGGAGTGGGGGAGAGGAAGGGGGAGGGTGGAGGGGGGAAGGGTGGGGGAGGGAGGGGGGGAGTGGTGGAGAGATGGAAGGAGTGGTGGGAGGGGGGGAGGGTGTGGAGAGAGGGAGGAGGGTGGAAGGAGGGGGAGGGGGAGAGAGGGAGGGAGGGGTGGAGAGAGGGAGGAAGTGGGGAGGAAGTGGTGGAGGAGGGGAGGGAGGGGGAGAGAGGGAGGGGAGTGGTGGAGGGAGGGGGGAGGGAGGGAGGGGGGGGAGGGGGAGGGAAGAAGTGGTGGGAGGGAGAGAAGGAGGAGGGAAGGTAAGGAAGGAGGGAGTGAGGAAGGAGGAGGGGAGTGGGGAGAAGGAGGGAGGGAGGGAAGGAGTGGGATGGAGGAGGAGGAGGTTCTTAAAATGTCCTTCCTAGTGAACATCTCTCTCTAATCTATAATTCACTTTACACACTCTGATTCGCTGATCCGCTAATCATATTCTCCTCCTCTTCATAACTAATCCTTTCCTACCATTCTTCCCTCACCTCTGCTTCTCGTTAGTGTATAGTGTATGAAGTGTGTATATTCTAGTATAGTTCTGTAACTCTTTCTTCTTCTTCTTTCATTTATGCTTATTCCATCATCATCAATATATCTCCCCTTCTTTCTTTTGTTTCCATTGACCAGAAACATCATTAATAACTTTACCTCTTCCTCCTCCTCCTCTTCTTCCTCCTCCCTCCCCTTCCTCCCCTCCCTCCTCCTCCCTCTTCATTCATTTCTCCATTTATCTTCCGTTTCTCTATAATCCATTCTGTTAGTATCTCATTTGCATATTACACAATTATCGACGCGGTCTCCTCTTCTTCCCTTCTTCCTTTCTTCCCTCTTCTTCCTTCTGTGTCTGTTATTGGTCAAATTCTTAGTGATAAAGGGGTTCTTCTTCTTCTTTCTTCTTCTTCTTCTTCTTCTTCACTACCTCCTCTTCTTTTTTCCATGGTGTCTCTCTTCTTTTCCCTCCCCTACCCACTCCCCCCTCCCTCACCCACCCCTCACCCCTCACCACCCCACACCACCACCCCCCCACCCCTCACCACCCCCCACCACCTCACCACCCCCTCACCCTCCCAGACTACACACACACACACACATTATTTATTGCTATTCATTTCTGCTTTGCTTCAGGTTCTAAAGCATTCTCAATGATAGGATATCTGTCTTCCTCCTCCTCCTCCTCCTCCTCTTCCTCCTCCTCCTCCTCCTCCTTTCTCCTTCTTCCTCCTCCTCCTCCTCCTCCTCCTCCTCCTCCTTTCTTTCTTCTTCTTCTTCTTCTTTGGTTATATTTATCTTTGTTCTCTCTCTCTCTCTCTCTCTTCTCTCTCAGGATACAACATATATAATGCCCACACATAAACTTGTTGAGAAATGCATTTTAGAAATTATTCAGTCTTTTTCTCGACCTGATTTAATATTTTACCTGTAGGCGGTCCAGAGAGAGAGAGAGAGGGAGAGAGAGAGAGAGAGAGTGGAGAGAGAGTGAGAGAGAAAGTGGGAGAGAAAGTGAGAGAGAAAGGAGAGGAGAGAGAGAGAGGTGGGTGGAACTTTCTAATATGAAAGACGAAAGTGAAAGTTGTATGAGCAGAAGATGAAATTAATAGTCAGGGATTTACTGAGGGTCTTGACGGCCTTGTCTGGTGGGGGGGTGGGGGAGGGGGGAGGTGGTGGGGGGAGAGAGAGTGGTGGAAAAAGGTAGTAGGAGGTAGTGGGGGGGTTGGGAAGGATGAGAGAGAGGGGAAGGTTGGAGGGAAGAGGAGGGGGAGGAAGGCAGGAGGAGGCTGGAGGGGAAGGAGGGTGAAATTGGTGGAGAGGAGGAGGAGGAGGAGGAGGGAAGATTAAGGGAGAAATGAAGAGGAGAGGAGGAGGAGGAGGGATGGGGTGAATAATGGACTTGATAGTTGAGGGAAGGGAGGGAGGAGGAAGAAGAGAAGGAAGGGGAGGGGGGGAAGTCGTCTCACATAATGATACAAGACGTGACTCACTTTATTATTACAAGATAAGTTAAGACGTGTGTGTGTGTGTGTGTGTGTGTGTGTGTGTGTGTGTGTGTGTGTGTGTGTGTATAGTAGTACTGTAGTAGTAGTAGTAGTAGTAGTAGTAACAAATACCAAACCGAACTCTAACCAAACATAACCTTGCATAACCTAACCAAACCAAACCTAACCTAACCAAACCTAACCTTGTATAACCTAACCTAACTAAACCAAACCTAACCAAACCTAACCTTGTATAACCTAACCTAACTAAACCAAACCTAACCTTGTATAACCTAACCTAACTAAACCAAACCTAACCAAACCAAACCAAACCTAACCTAACCTAACCAAACCTAACCTGTATAACCCAACCTAACTAAACCAAACCTAACCAAACCTAACCCAACCTAACCTAACCAAACCCAACCTAACCAAACCTAACCTAACCTAACCTAACCTAACCTAACCTAACCAAACCTAACCTTGTATAACCTAACCTAACCAAACCTAACCTAACCTAACCTAACCAAACCTAACCTAACCAAAACCTAACCTAACCTAACCTAACCTAACCCAACCTAACCTAACCTAACCAAACCCAACCTGTATAACCTAACCTAACCTAACCAACCAAACCCAACTCCTAACCAAACCTAACCTAACCTAACCTAACCTAACCCAACCTAACCTAACCTAACCTAACCTAACCTAACCTAACCTAACCTAACCTAACCAAACCAAACCAAACCAAACCTAACCTAACCAACCTTGTATAACCTAACCTAACCAAACCTAACCTAACCAAACCTAACCTAACCAAACCTAACCTAACCTAACCTAACCTAACCTCTCGTCAACAGATGTGGGTGATTAAGGCGGGCTACACGGTGATGGTGGTGACCTTTCTGGCTATGACCTGGGCTTACCTGGCCGGAGCTGCCCAGATAGTCCAGAACACACACATTACCAAGTGAGTCTCCTGATGTATTACTTGTATGGTTGTATTATTGTATTGCTGTATTGCTGTTGAGAGCTGATTGGTCCATACATCAATATCCAAGGCGATCGCGTCAGCATCTTATAAATCAGATCACTGAGCGCTGATTGGCTCTCAGAATCTCATATACTCAGTAACAGTGCTAATTGAGCGTTGATTGGCTCGTATGTGTAGCCAATCAAAACACTTGTTGAAATCCAAGACCGTTAATCGACGACAACACGGGTGTTGATTGGCCCACAGATGTGACCAATTAGAGTGCTGGGATCGTCTCCAGACCGATTATGGCCGCTGATTGGCTCTTAAGGTACAAGTTCAACTGAGTACTGAACGAGCTCCTTGTTCTCTCTCTCTCTCTCTCTCTCTCAGTGATCAGGAAGAGGGCGTGATCAAGGAGGTTGTCTCATCATGCTATCAAATCATGATATCTCTCCCCCGGCTATCTACTTGATATCACTGCTGAGGTACCTGGTGTCGGGGGGAGGGGGGATGAGGGATGAGGTGGATGAAGGACAGGGGTAGGTGGGGTGAGGCGGAGGAGAGTGTGAGTGGGAGGGAGAGGGGGTGGATAGGAGAGGAGAGAGGGAGGGAAAGATAAATGAGATTGATAGATAAAGAAATACAAAGAGGGGGGAGGGAGATCAAGAGAGAGAGAGAGAGAGAGAGAGAGAGAGAGAGAGAGAGTCCTACATAAAAGATGTTTAAACGCGTTATACCTTTTACGAATTATATCTAGTGATCTCTCTCTCTCTCTCTCTCACACACACCTGGTCGTCTCACACACCTGCAGGATGCTGGGTCGCCACTCTGTATATTGCGGTGTA